AGAGAACCCGGTTTAGATCCAGAGATTTAATAACACAAAATCATCACACGAGTGGGAAACACAAAAGGTCACTCGCAGTGGAATCACAGTAGTACATCCACAGACTCTAAACAGACTATTTAGTATAACGTCACACTGAGTACTGGACCCAGCTGCTTAAATGAGTGGTGGCAATCTAGGAAACTGCAGTCAGCTGCGACACTCCAAGTGCTCCACAAAGGGGTGGGATACTCAGGAGCCACAGCCGACCTGCACATAAATAGAAGCACAACTCTCAACACAGAAACAAGCAAAGGGAGAGCACATAATATATAAATAAAACAACCAGAAGGAGCAGCCCATAACATAACCCCCCTCACAAGGTCCAGCTACCAGACGGACGACAGGGCTGATCCGGGTTGTCCCGGTGGAAGCGGGCGATCAGGTCATGGCACAGGATATGGCGCTCTGGCACCCACTGGCGGTCCGCCGGGCCATAACCCACCCAGTCCACCAGATACTGGATGTCCCGACCCACCTTCCATAGTATATAATACTGTGATTCAAACACAGAGGCTAGAAGTTCGTTGACTGTGTAGACTGGGCCGCCATTCACAATGTGGGGAGCCGGTGGACCCACGGGGGGAGAAGCAAGGGACTAGCTTTCCATGGCTTCAGCTAGCTGACGTGGAAAACGGGATGCACTTGCAGGGAGCGGGGGAGATCCAAACTGACCGCTACCGGGTTGACGACCTTGGAGACAGGGTACGGGCCTATGTATTGGGGAAGCAACTTCCTCGAACCCCCCTTCATTGGGACATCAGTCGAGGAGAGCCAAACTTTGTCACCCACCTTGTAGTTTGGCACGACGGACCTCTGACGGTTCGCTACGGAGGTAAACGTCTCCTGGTTTCGGATCAATCGCGAGCAGTGTTCATTCCAGGTGCGTCGACAGTGTCTCACAAACGCCGCAGAGCTGGAGGCAGACGCTGATTGTTCCTGATGGGGGAAGAGAGGCGATTGGTAGCCATAGGCAGCCTGAAAAGGGGAAAGACCAGTAGAGTTCACAAGGGAGTTATGGGAGTATTCTGCCCAGGGAAGCTGTGTGGACCAGGTCTTGGGGTCTTTTGAGCACATAGCTCGTAGGGTGGTTTCCAAATCTTGATTAAAGTGTTCTACCTACCCGCTGGTCTGAGGATGGAAACCAGAGCTCAGACTGACCTAGACCCCAAGGAACTGGCAAAACTCCTTCCAGAATGCTGCCACGATCTGTGGGCCCCAATCGCAGGTTATGTTCTCTGGAAGTCTGTGCAGCCGGAACACATGTCGTGCTACCAACTCAGCCAGTTGCTTAGCAGAGGGTAGCTTCTGTAGGGGCACAGCATGAACCAACTTGGAAAACCTGTCATCAATAGTTAGTATCACAGTTTTACCTCTCGAACAAGGCAGTCCAGTGATGAAGTCCATGGCTATATGGGACCATGGTCTGGAAGGGACTGGTAAGGGTTGTAGGAGTCCTACAGGGGGGTGTTCTGGGTACTTTGACACTGGCACACACAGGGCAGGAGGAGACAAATGCTCGGATGTCGGAGGACATGGTTGGCCACTAGAACCGTTGAGCCACCAGGAAGACAGTCCTCGTCACCTCGAGGTGGCAAGCCACACGTGAAGAGTGCCCCCACTTCAACACTGTGGGGTGCATACTCGAAGGCACAAACAGACAGTTGGGAGCACATCCAGAAGGAGTAGGGACTGCATCAGTGGTTGCAGACTTGACCCTTTGCTCCAAGGCCCAGCGGGTGGCCCCCAGTACCAGGGCAGGGGGAACAATGGTGGTGCTGTCCGAGGTCCCTATCGACCCACCATCCTGCTGATATTGGCATCGGGTTTGACGTTTTTGCCGCCAGGGCGATAAGAAAGGGTAAAGTAGAAACAGTCAAAATCCATCTCTGTCGTTTCGCCGGGGTGAGTCTCCCCACTCCAAGCTGCATTGGCTCCACGGGGGGTGAAGTTTGAGATGCGGCAGGGAGTGGTAGCGAAGGCACAGATGTCGTGGGTGGAGATCCACGGAGCGACGTTCTCCTCTGCTGCACTCCATCCTCCATCGGTCGATGCCCGTAGCCAGATCGATAAGCTCCTCCAGGTCCTACGGAACCTCCCCGAGCAGCTAGCTTGTCCTTGAGAGCGCTGGAAAAGCCCTGAAGAAAAACGTCAACCTGTGCTTCCTCGGGCCAGCGGGTGTTGGGTGGCAACGTTCAAAACTCCATGGTGCAGACAGAAATGCTGCGTCCGCCCTGCCTCAGGCGGAGTAAGTCAGCTGCAGCGGTTCGATGAGGTGTGGTAGGGTCGAACACAGTGCTGGCAGGAGAACTCTCAAAAAGGGCGGCGGATATCCGTTCCCCGTTCCCACTCTGCCAGGCTCCACCTCCTGGCTTGTCCGGTCAGGAAGCTCATGGCGAAAGCAAACTTGCTTTGTTCGGTGGGGAACTCACCGGAGTTTAATTCAAAATGCAGCCGGCAGGAGGCGAGGAATGACCTGCAGTCCGCAGCTGTGCCATCCAAAGGCTTGGGAGCTCCCAGGTGTACCTGACGGGACAGGGAGGGAGCCTGCTCCAGTCTGGAGAGGCGTCCATGGAGCTGCTGCATCCCAGACATGCAGCCCCCTATCTCCTGAGCCAGCGGCATCAGTCCACCTCCTCCAGTTTCGTCCTGCTCTGAAATAGGTAAGGGAACGCCGGTGGCTGGTAGTCCTCCTGCTGGATTTGACATGGTGGCGTTATAATGTCACGGCGGGGAACACCAGAATGAATCCAGATGCAGGAGGCAGAGAGAACCCGGTTTACATCCAGAGATTTAATAACAAAAAATCACCACACCAGTGGGAAACTCAAAAGGTCACTCGCAGAGGAATCACAGCAGTACATCCACAGACTCTAAACAGACTATTCAGTATAACGCCACACTGAGTACTGGACCCAGCTGCTTAAATACAAGTGGTGGCAATCTAGAAAACTGCAGTCAGCTGCGACACTCCAAGTGCTCCACAGAGGGGCAGGCTACTCAGGAGCCACAGCCGACCTGCACAGAAATAAAAACACAGCTCTTAACACAGAAACAAGCAAAGGGAGAGCACATAATACATAAATAAAACAACCAGAAGGAGCAGCCTATAACATATTTGTTTTGGGATGGCAGCAGAGATGAGAATTGTCACATCAACAAGTCATTTCCATGTCTTGTTTTTGTTCTGCTCAGCATCTGAGCCAGGTTCATTCATTGTGCTGATTGGAATCACCTAGTTTGGTTGCTGAGCTGAAGAAAAACAGCATGGAGATGACTTGTTGATGCCACAATTCCCCATCTCTGGATGGCAGCAAAACACTTTGATCCTGGTTTAGCTTATCAGTTCTGTCGGTTGTAAAACTGTCCCTGTTTTGGGGACCACAATGCTAACAGGACCAAAGAAAAATTGATAGAAGTCATTTTTAGTTAGAAAACAACGGAGGTACTTACAGGATTGACAAAAATCTGGGAGGCATCTAGGGCAATCCGAGACAAATAATCACACAAGGTGGAGCACCAGATTACCAGTAACAATGAGCATTGAGTTCTAGCATTGGAGAATGAGGTGTGAACCTGGAAAACTAATCAGGTGCAAGTGGAGATAGCTGGGAAGGGAACCGACAGAAGGGAATCAGGGAAAAACGAAGCAGCTGTGCGGGATTGCAGGCTGACAAACTGAAGATGAATTATAAAAAAAAAGTAAACTCTGGAAACAAGAAAACACAAGCTGACCAAAAAACTGAAACGAAGCAATAAAACAACAAAAATAACATGAAACGGATGCCAAAACAAACACCCACATATGACAAATAGTTTTTGTTTGAGACCAAGACCACTGAGGCAGCTATCTGTAATGGGCGTGGCTGTAATTATTTCTAACTTTTATAAAGGGGGCGGGGTCTATGATTTCAGGAGAGTATTTTGATCATCAGTTGGACTCATCTGGCAAGCGGGGGTAAATCTAAATGCATACAATTCTGTATGTGGCTGTCCTCAATGTTAGTGAGGAATGTTTCTGGTTCTGAAGCTAAGCCAAACTTGCTGCTGGCACCTTCTCACATCTGTGTACAAATAATTTAACAAACAACAGCACTATGGTGTTTCTTTGCTTCTCGCAAGCATTGACGTTTTCCTGTTCCCGGCTCGGCTCCGCTCTGCTCCAGCCATACCGCTGTGCCCTAGCTTTACTGTTCAATTCCGCTATGGACCTACTACCTAATGAATGGTGCCGCCCAGGTTGGTTGAACATACTCCTACCTGTTCCAGACCCATCAATGCAACCGAAGCTTAATTCTTTCAAATCAAAATCCTAGTTTTGCCTCATTAAGCACATCATTAATCCATTATTAAAATAGCAAATCTTCAAAATGCTCATCAATTTGAGCACAATATGACCCTTAGCAAAAATACAACAGCTTAAGGTTCTTGCAGGCCTAACCATTTTAGACAGTGCTTGGCTTATGTCACTGACGTCCTTGCTGTGAGTAAGGACAATCTAAAATATAAGTGAAAGACAGTTAACAGTTAAATTACTCCTCATTTTCCAATTCAGGAAACTTTCAGCTAAACTACTGTGGGATGTACAGATACCTCTGACAAGCTGGTGAATATTTTATCACTATTGGGAACAGGGCTGATGAGATTGCTTAGATGACAGATCCAGCAGTGCTTACTTTCCATTCATCACCTGTCCTTCTCTACCAGCGTAGAGTGAAGTCAAAAGCCTTGGCCGGCCCACTGGGGAATCACTGGATATGCTAGACTCCTCATCCACCTTTATGATCATCACTCCTCTTTCTCAGGGTGTCATTGTGCTCAGTCTCTATTCATTAAGATAGGCCTTAATAGACTTTCTGCAGAATTCTGTGTTTGCATAGAAATATGGACTAGGCAGATATAAAAGGGGTCACGAAGCTCTGGGTGAATGTCTTCTCTTGTTGCCTTTTAAACAGATTCAACTGGCTAAAATGGAAGATAAAAGTGAATTATATTTCAATACTTGTTCTAAATGAAAAAAATAACTATAATATAAATAATGGAAGCTGTTTACAAGAATCATTCAATGGAATGTCGTGGTTTAGGCCACAGTCACATCATCAAGTTATTCCTATTGGCAGAAAATGCCAGTTAATTCCAAAAGGCTGCTTTTTCCTTTTTATCAACCAAGACATTTAGAGTTTGAACAAAATTTGACACCAGTTTTATCATCTGGGCTTGATTTTATTGTCATATGTTGGAAAATCTGCAAAAATCTGTTTAGTTGTTTTCATTTATTTTTATGTCACAGCAAAAAAAATTAAACGCCCAAGGTGCCACTAAATAATTTAACGATCCTGGAATTCTGCACCAATGACGGTCTAAAATTCATAATCCTACCGCCATGCTGTTTATTACTAGATTAGAAAAACCCAATTGGAGTCAATGCAGAGTTAGCAACTATGCCGGGTTTTTTTTGTACAGCCTTTGGTTGCAACAACCGGTGCACTATTGAAAATAAATCACGTGGGACTTCTCTGCATCTTTTCTAGCCTATTTGTGGAATTTAATACTTAAAAAAAATATTATATTTATATTGTAACCATTGTGCCAAACCATCTGTTTGGTTTTGTTAAAATGCATAATAAAATGTGTTTTTAGTTAACTAAGCACCTTCCTCAGTAGAGACAAATTCACTGGGGACCCATCCAAAATAGCGACGGGCAAATTTGGCAGCTCCAATAGCTCAAGTCCAAGAGGCATCTACCTATATGACATCTGTGAATTTAACACCATTATTGGAGCAAAACAACAAAGATGGCATCTCAGGAAAGGGACTGGTTTGCATCGGCTTTCGCATCAACGTTGTACAATTTAGACTTTCTTTGTGACAATAACAGATAGAGGTACTTCTTTGATTTCTTCAATGGACTGCCCTGTTGTTGCCCTGTTTTTTTCTCATAAAGGGGTCAATAAAAATGTATTTTAAACTTATTGAAAATATAATAGCCGTAGAAAGCACAGCTGAGTTGGTGTATCCTACCCTGCTATAGCCCCCAGCTATTGTCAAACTCGAGTTTTACATCCTGCAAAGGGTCAGTCTCATTAGTCAAATCCCTGTATGGCACGGTAATGAATTACATTAGTTAGCTCATTAGCAAGCAAGTGGATGATAAGCAAACTCATTTTAGGAGCTTGTGCCTTACCTTTACCAATTATTAGAATATTAGTGAAATAAGTAGGTGTTACTGCTCACATCTGAAGGTCTTACAGCAAAAAATACAACTGTTGTGTATTTTATCTTATCTGAAATATTTGAAATATTAACTCAATTGTTCACAAAAAATTGAAAAAAAGTGAATAAAAGTCACTATAATGGACAAAGATGTTCCTGTACACTTTAATGATGGCATTATGTGCGGAAACCTTTTTAATTTCGTGATCACATATGATATTGGACCACACACACACACACACACACACACACACACAGGTGTTTGAGCAGTTACTACGCAGACATATTTTTGTTTGCTTGTTTTTACCCTGATTGCTGAAGTCGCAGTGACTGGTTCGTATGAAGGACAAAAAAATTCAAAAAATACAATATTTGAGTGTTGGGGCGTGGAAGCAGCACAGCTGAGGCTCTGTTTGCTTCATAATGGAGACAGACAGGGCCATGCAACACACACACACACACACACACACACACACACACACACACACACACACACACACACACACACACACACACACACACACACACACACACACACAGTCAAATCACAAGGACAAAACGTACTTTAATCAGAGCTGTGAGTATCCATTATGTTATAAAAGCGGGAAAATGATTGATGCACATTTGAATTAAAGTTCAATTGAAGGACGCAGCTCCCAGTTATGGCAGCTATTCATCAATTAGATCCTGAAACTCCCCCTGCAAAAAGAAAAAAAACATGCTTCTTTATGTTTACATTGCTTTCTTTGTGAATAAAACAAAACTTAGTGGCTAGAGACTTTCTGTGACTTTGGTTTGTACCCTGTATTAAACATACGATGCATGTTATTTTGTGTGAATTTAAAGGTTTTAGTAATGCTCCTAATAAAACTTTTCATTTATAATTACATACAATAAGTGATTTTGCAATCATACATTATGAGCTATCAATATTTCACTGTTAAAAATAGACTAAACTGGACTTAAATATCAACACATTCTCACTCCCAGCACGTCACAAACAAACGCTTGGTCAGCCACCCTCCACGTCACACCCCTGACGCCAAAAGTGCCCTTTTTCGTTACTTATGTGCGAAAAGGGGTTTTTCCCTTTTGTAACTGCAGATCCCAATGCAGCGAACCAGCTCATTTAACCGCACCTAAACCTTAACGTTTCACTATTTATAACCTTCCCCTCACCCTCATCCTAACCTTAACCCTCTTGCTACCTAAAACGTTACTCTCACTGTGATCAAGCGTTTGTTTCCCATGCATTCTGTCTCTGACAGTCAGAATCTGACTGTGAATTTCCATATTTGCCGCCCAAGGGGAACGTTAGAACATACCATCTGGCGAGGGGGAGGTTACAAATACCCTCTACTTTTAGTTGAAACCTTCCCCTCGCATTGGCTCGGTCCAAACTCGACCAATGACGAGGCGGCTCCCGCCGTTCACTTCATAGAGCCGGCTTTTAGAGCGATCGAGACATCACTAATGTGTTCGCTAGCAAGATGGTTAAGGTTAGGATAGGGGTGAGGGGAAGGTTAAATAAGAGGATAAGGTTAAGGTGAGGTACAATGAGCTTGTTTGGTGCCGTGGCTGTGGACGTCCCATCGCGTCAGTGTAACGCTGCATTGGGATCTGCAGTCAAATAAGGGAAAAATCCCTTTTCGCACATAAGTACCGAAAAAGGGCACTTTTGGCGTCATGGGTCTGACGCGGAGGGTGGCTGACCAAGCGTTTGTTTTTGACGTGCTGGGAGTGTGTCACACCCTGTCCTGTCTCCCCATTTGGTTCAGCCTGCGTCTCTGTTGATTGCTCCCACCTGCCTCTCGTTTCCCAATCACCCAAGCTCCCAGCCCACCTGTATTTAAACCCCTCCAGTTCTGTGTCTCTTGTTGCCTCATTGTTTCCGTGTCCTGCGTGTGTGAATCATTAAAACCAATTAAGTGGTCCAGTTTGTCCGCCTGCCTGCTTCCTCCCCAGCATTTGGATCCTCACCTCCGCTCCACTCACCAGCGCATCCTGACAGAGTGAGAATGTGTTTTAAATATCCACTTATAAGGATGACATTTGTGTTCTTTTTACTGTTTAGGAAGAACATGCAACACAGAATCATTTAAGTCACAAATAACTCAAAATGCATGTTTTGGAGTACATTGAGAAAGCCCATGCATGCCCATGGAAAACATATCAACTCCATGCAGAAAGGCCGGGATTCAAACCTGCGATCCTCTCATTGTGAGGCACTGTGAGCCAGTTAACTTCCTTCCTGTCTGCTGATTATTTCTTTTTTCTTCGCTCTTTTTTCAGCAAGAGTTAATCTGTTAAAAAAACAGTTAGGACCAAGATTCCTTGACATTTCGAAGCTTTACCTATGCCAGTTTGATATTGTTTCTGAAGGAGATAATCCGTGACACAGAGCTTTGATCAGGAACTTGTTTATGAAGCTGGAGTCGAAGGCCTTAATCTGCCAGGAAGACATCAGATGGTGTCATCCCCGGGTGGCGTCGAGTGCATGGGAAAGTGTCTGGTCGTGACTCTGTGTGCACAAGAGAGGATTACCTAACATCCAAACAAAAGGGAAACAAAGTAGAGAAACAGCAACTGCAAAGATAGAATAACAACTATGAATATGTTTTGACAAAGACAGTCATCAACTATTTCATTGGAAACATAAAATCAAAAGTAAGTATCTAAATGTTTTTGATCTTTCCGAACTGAACTGAACAAATAGGTTGAGCTGATAACTTCATTCGGAAGTCAGCATTTGCTCTGCCTTTTACAATCATTTCTCATATCCATCCATCAGTGTATCCATTCATTTTCATCCACACATCTGGAGTCGGGACGTGGGGGCAGCAGCCTAAGCAGAAAGGCCCAGACTTCTCTCTCCCAAACCAGCTCCTTCGGGGGAATCCTAAGGTATTTCCTGGCCAGCTGAGAGACATTGGCCCTCCAGTGTGTCCTGGGTCTTCCTTTGGGTCTCCTCCCATTTGGACGTGCCCAGAAAACCTCACCAGGGAGGCGTCCAGGAGACGTCATTTGGAATCCTAGGATACCTAAGGAAGATCCCGCCTTTCTGGCCTCTGATTGGATAGAAAGGCTCTACTACGATTGGCTATTTCATTTAGCAGCAAACTGGTTGTCCTCGCTAAGTGCAGACTGTCCCTCTGCCACTAGCAGAAAGCTGTTTTGGGGAGTTTTGTAAAGAAAATGTGAACTTAGCGTTATAATAACCATTCAGACCTGATTTGCTAAATATTTAATGTTTTTTGTTTCATAAAAAAAGTGAAAAATGTAAAATGTGAATTTATAATCTTGTTGCATTTATCAAACAGTTGGACTTACTTTACATCTCTTGGCTCTCAAGCATTACAGTTGTGATGACCACATCCATGTCCACACAACGGTGAACGTTAAGTACACTCTTGCACTTTTATGATTGCAGTTTGTATGTTTATATTTCTTTGGATTTATTGTTTAGATGGCTTAAATGCATTAGTTCTAATTGTAAGTGCGCACATTTAGTTAACTGCTGTATTTTATGCCTTCCATTTGTTCAATTTAAGTTAATTTGTTTTCTCTTACCGGTGCTGAGGTTCTCCACTTCCTGCTTCTTGAGATGGGACAGGCAAACAGGGTTCTTCTTCTTCTTCATTTCCGGTTAAATGGCGGGTGGCAACCAACTTAAGGTGCATTACCGCCACCTACTGTGCAGGAGTGCGAAGCAAACAGGGTTGAAGGGGTTCTGTCAGCTAAATACAGGAGGAGCTAATGGGACCAAACCAATCGCTCCCTGAAGAGGGGACTGAAGAATTTCCTTTAGTTTATTATTTTGTCATTTGTTAATTAATTTAAGTTTGAAGTTAAATAGTTAGGTTTATGGGTTAGGATGTTTAGGTTTATTAACAATCTGACTATACTGATTTGTGGTTTTGGTTTTAGTTAGTAAATGTTTGTCTAGTAATCCCTATTGTTCATATGGTCTGATCAGCCAGCGTGTATATATACCCTTGTGTGTCTTTGTTTGTTAGGTCGGTTATGGTTTCAGTCAGTCTGTATGTTAAGTTAGAAGTTTACTGAGTTTCAGTTTGTTTGTTTGTTTGTTTGACCTCTTTTATGAGCTCGAGCTGTTTTTGTGAGGACATTTTAAAACAAAAAGGAAATTAAAGAGTCTATTTTTGTAAATTGCCTGTGTTCCTCCACTGATTTGGCTTGATCCCTCACACAGTACATAGGATAGACATATGTGCCTTACCTGGGTATGGAACTTAATAAAACTGCGCTTATCTGCCCAGCTGTGTGCATCAGGTCTGTTTCTTTTCTAAAATAATGAAACTTGGTGAAAAATTGGTCTAAATCTTAATCAGCTTTAACTTAATTTATGATAAAATGATATGCATTTAATCTGATGAGAGATGTGCTTTAACTTGTAAATGGCCTTAACTTATTATAGTGAAGACATAGGAAAGCCTAATAATTAGGTAATGAGATACAGTGGTGTGAAAATCTATTTGCACCCTTCCTGATTTTTTATTGTTTTGCATGTTTTTCTCACAAAATGTTTCTGATCATCAAGCAAATTTAACCATTAGTCAAAGATAACACAAGTAAACACAAAATGCAGTTTTTAAATGTTTTTTATTTAGGGAAAAAAATATCCAAACCTACATTGCCCTGTGTGGAAAAAAGTAATTGCCCCCTTGTTAAAAAAATAACCCAACTGTGGAGTATCACACCTGCATGCAGTTTCTGTAGCCATGCCCATGCCTGATTACTGCCACACCTGTTTCAGTGAAAAATCACTTAAATATGAGCTGCCTGACACAAAGAAGTAGACCAAAAGCGCCTCAAAAGCGAGACATCATGCCAAGATCCAAAGAAATTCAAGAACAAATGAGAACAAAAGTAATTGAGATCTATCAGTCTGGTAAAGGTTATAAAGCCATTTCTAAAGCTTTGGGACTCCAGCGAACCACAGTGAGAGCCATTATCCACAAATGGCAACAACATGGAACAGTGGTGAACCTTCCCAGGAGTGGGCGGCCGACCAAAATTACCCCAGGAGCGCAGAGACAACTCATCCGAGAGGTCACAAAAGACCCCTGGACAACTTCTAAAGAACTGCAGGCCTCACTCGCCTCAATTAAGGTCAGTGTTCACGACTCCACCATAAGAAAGAGACTGGGCAAAAACAGCCTACATGGCAGATTTCCAAGACGCAAACCACTGTTAAGCATAAACCACATTAGGGCTCATCTTAGTTTTGCTACGAAACATATCAAAGATTGCCAAGACTTTTGGGAAAACGCCTTGCGGACTGATGAGACAAAAGTTGAACTTTTTGGAAGGCAAATGTCCCGTTCCATCTGGCATAAAAGTAACACAGTATTTCAAAGAACATCAAACCAACAGTAGAATATGGTGGTGGTAGTGTGATGGTCTGGGGTTGTTTTGCTGCTTCAGGAACTGGAAGGCTTGCTGTGGTAAATTCAGTTGCGGGTGGTGCGTTCCACCCCTGGGCCTTCAGTGATTTCCTATTCAGTCCAATCTAAATTAACACACCTTAAAATACCATCAATAGGACATGTAACCGGATTACAGGATACAATAAGATAATTAAAAGAAAACATAAACAAATGGGCCAATAATTAGGTTCGGGGAGAATTGGAGGTTGTTTAAGAATGACTGGAGTCACGGGTATAGCATGAAACGGTTTATATACTAAATTTTAATAATAATGGGAAATATAACACATAAAGATAACACACAAAACAGATGAAAACAATCGACAATAGTAAAATGCTCGGTATGAGATTTGATCATATGAGTCACAAGTCAGCCGGCGTCAAGTCAAATCCCCACGCTTGGGGTGAAAGTCAGAGTCCGGTGGTGCGATTTTTTCCTACCGCACCGTTGAGATTGTTCACAGAAGAGAGCAGTCTGCTCTTCAGTTACTTGAGATGTCCTGGTTCGTTCAGTGGTTAAGGCTCGCCATCTCCCTCGTCAGGAAGAAATCCAGTTCTCGTTCCAAGTGAGTGATCATAGGAGTCGGGATCAAACCCAAGGAAAAAAAAAAAACCCAGCCTGTAAACAACAGGACTGTTAGCGAGTTGGCATCGACCCTTCTCGTCACATCACAGCATAAAGTCTTACAGACTTAAACAAATGCTTCACTCTATTGGCATAGCCAATCATGTTTGGGTTCACAGTTCAACTAACATAACATCAATTTGATTGTCTATTAAAATAATTCTCAGTAGCTCTGGAAATATAATTACATATGACAACAATTGTTCAGCTCAATAGGCTCAGTTAGATTCTATTACTCTACACTATTCAACAAGAAATACATTCATGACAACAAGGATACATTTAGTTGTGTTTCTATACAGCATTGTGACACCTTGTATATCTGTAACACAATAAATAAATAAATAAATAAATAAATAAATAAATAAATAAAATGTTCTATAACAAAATTCAACAAAATATAAATTCTGGTCCTTTGGTCCACCTTTGTAAAATAATTCCTCCCTAATCAGTTAGCTTTTATTTATTTTTATTTATCTATTTTTTTTATTATTAAATGTTTGGTTAAGGGACGCATTGCTAATTCTATGGCGTTAGCTATAACGCCCCTGAGGACCTTGTACATCTAGGCCGTACCACCATTAACTGGCGGTTTGAGCCGTTAACTCCTGGGAATCCCATATGCCCTACCGCCGTTAACTGGCGGTTTGAGCCGTTAACTCCTATATGCCCTACCACCGTTAACTGGTAGTTTGAGATGTTAACTCCTGGGATCTAACGTCTAGCAGCCCACTGCTGTCACCTCGGTTGCTGTAATTAGCTTTTTGAATTTAATAATTTACTGAATTTAATCTCATTCACTCACCAACGCGCTCCAACGGTTCCCTCCTACAGAGGATTGGTTCACTCTGTCGTCTCCACACAAATCTATAAGAATGGAATTAATTTGATAAGCTATTTAAGTTTCCTTTTTTTTTTTAAGTTGCATCGTTAGCTTTTTCTCTTCTTTTTTCTTTACTCACCGCGTTGGTTCCAAGTTCCTAGCTCTTATTAGAAGGAGTCAAGTCCGCCTCTCCCTCTATCTATGCGGCACCCAAATCAGGGTTCTTCACGGCCTCGACCGTTGTTTTTTTTTTCTCTCTCTCTCTCTCTCTAACCGCTCAGTCTTTGCTTTCTGTATCTGCGTGCTGCACAGCCGTTTGTCTCTCCTCTCGCTCAGCTGCGTCGCACGGTTTTATTTCGCGGAGGCGGGACTTATTTCTCTCAGCCAATGAAATTTCAGATTCCCACCTGGACCAATAGTATACAGCTTTCCTATTCTGTTTCTGTTAGTGATGTTCAAGATTCTTGTTTTAACCGATGTTTAATATTAAACTCGTTATTTTAGTAATTCACCCTTCCAATAATTCATTATGAAATTATCTATTAGTTAATTAGATATCTATTAATTAGTATTGTTAATTTCCTTAATTTATATTTTATATTTTATCTAAATTGAGGATGGATCATATTAGTAAGCCAATTAGTTAATACCTCATTAAGGTTCTAGCTTCTGGGTTACAGACATCACAGCTGGAGAAACCTCTCTCTCTCTCTCTCACACGCACACACACACACACACACCAGTGGCTGGGCAAGACGTCATTTCCGGAGCCTTTAAAATCAAACTCGCATTCCCAATTGAGAGTAGGAAGCTAAGACCACGGATACTGTCAAATCTCAAAAATGAAAGACGGGTTTAAGAGATGAGACAATAAAATAAATAAGTAAAGCAAACACATTATTTGCATTTGTTTTGGAGAAAATTGCACCGCGAAACAATTGAACATGTTGGCGCAGCTGCACACACCACGTTATACACAATATAAATTGCATAGAAACAGAACACAGAATAATTTCATTTTGCCATTTTATTTCGTTACCATTTATTATTAACAAAATGAAATGACAAAACATTAAAAAATACTTTCTACTCACCAACATAAATGTCCAGCATGGATCTCCTCCTCTCCTGCTCATTTGAAAATAAAATCCATCCTTCTTTCTTTCCTCAGGAAAACCTCAATGGCTCTGTACAGTTTATCTGTGTGCTTCAGGTCCATGAGTAGGTCCTTTTCTATGGACATGGAGGCTAATGCTGAAAGCCGTGTCTGCCCGGTCGTGTTTCTGGCGTACGTTTTAACGCACTTTAATGCTACCAAATCCATCTGATGCGAGCAACGGGCATTCCCAGCAGAATAACCTGCAGCGGTTCTCTGAAGCTGTTAGCCATGGGTACCGTTCATAGTTGCTTGCCTGAAAATGACGAACAAATCCTTTCCCCTGCTGGGACAAGCCAGCTAGCATTGGAGTCGGACGACCTGTTCTCACAAGATCCATTTTTTCTTGAAAGGTCCGTCTGGAAAATGGTGTGGCAAGTAAATCTGCAACCAAGTCCGTCCCTTCTCCTCTTTCAGCCATCATGTGTTCAAAAATACACCGATAGCTGCCTATAGATACAAATCTCTGTGTTTAGTTTTGATATTTTGCTTAATGCTGCTAGAAAAGTTCTAACTTACTGCTTATCCAATCACAGGATGCGTTCATGTCAACTTTTGCATGAGGCCAGCTAGCTGGCCCGGGCCAAGCTGACTCGTGAGCTGATTGGCTATCGCAACTGGATCGTCTCTGTTCACTTACAGCGGACAGCGGGCTTCTCGATTGATTCTGAAGGCCTAGGGCAGACTTAATCTGCCTGAAAACACAAGCTAGCTTAAATCTGATTGGATAACACCCAGCCTTGGTATTTTAACACTGGAAGCAGCACAGCCAAGTGGGTATAATAGGATATAAAGAAAATAGACCAATGAACATTTTTTTTAATTTAAAAATAATTACCAAAAGAAAAAAAAATACATTTACGCTTTTGAGTACGTTTAGGCCAGCAGAGAAGGCTTTGCTGGCCCTGACTGCCCACCACTGGATAAATGGAACCATGACTTCTACTGTCTACCAAAACATCCTTAAGGAGAATGTCCGGCCATCTGTTCGTCAACTAAAGCTGAAGCGATCTTGGTTGCTGCAGCTGGACAATGACCCAAAACACACCAGCAAGTCCACCTCTGAATGGCTGAAGAACAACAAAATGAAGACTTTGGAGTGGCCTAGTCAAAGTCCTGACCAGAATCCTATTGAGATGCTCTGGCATGAACTTAAAAAGGTGATTAATGCTAGAAAACCCTCAAATAAAGCTGAATTACAACCATTCTGCAAAGATGAGTGGGCCATAATTCCTCCAGAGTGCCGTGAAAGACTCACTGCAAGTTATCGCAAACGCCTGATTGCAGTTATTGCTGCTAAGGGAGGCCCAACCAGTTATTAGGTTCAGGGGGCAATTACTTTTTCACACAAGGCAATGTAGGTTTGGATGTTTTTCCTCCCTAAATAATAAAAACCATCATTTAAAAACTGTATTTGTGTTTACTTGTGTTATTTTTGACTAATGGTTAAATGTGTTTGATGATCAGAAACATTTTGTGTCAAACATACAAAAGAACAAGAAATCAAGAAGGGGCAAATCGTTTTTCACACCACTGTAACTCTAATAGAGCCAACAGATTAAAAGTCAGTGTGATAAAATGCAACAAGATTTATTACAAGTTCACATTTGACGTTTTTCAATTTTTTTATGAAAGAAACCAAAACGGGTTTGTTGCAAAACAGGAAAGAATGTTTGTTAAAGCAATGAGTTCACATTTTCTTCAAAAACTCCTCAAGATCTAGCTGTAAACATAAAAAGCTGCAGCGAGGGAAAACTGTTTCCTCTTACATGCAATAGCCGATCACGGGAAAGTCCTTCCAGCCAAGAGCGGAAATCCTGTTTAAATTTTGGGAGGGACAATAAACAGTAAAACTTCAGAGAGTAATTGTTGGGGGGGACATGAAAAAAATGCTCTCTACATACAACACTGTATATCCTTATAAGAGACTGACCTGTGACTCTGTGCCTGTGTCTGACAGGCTCTGGCTGCCTGTGCTCAAGTGACTGGACTTTGCCTAATGAAACCATTTAGAAACAATTTCATAGGCATTTCGTTTCTTTCTTATAGACGTCTTTATCAAAATGCAAGTTTCTACTTGACGTTCTGAAACATTAAAAAAATGACCTGATGTCTGCCGTTTTTCGTTTCTCTGCCATTTCAACTGACCTGGTCTGCTGACAGTTGGACAACAACACACACAGATGGGATATTGTCATTAGAACGGAGCTGGAGGATATTGATCAACAATAATATCTTGCCAATTTTGTACATCTCCATAAGCATCCTTTCTTTTTTGTTTTCATTTCAATAACAACACTGTGGCCTAAAACGGAATAAGCAATTCAGAATAAAGATTTAAAAGTAGATTGTTAATAGTTGAAGCAAAATGTCCTGAAATGACATGGCTAATAGCTGACCAGCAGCTACACGTGTGGACGGATGCAAAGCATTAATTTTAAGTACTAAAACATATCTAACTTTTTCACAACAAAGAGACAGAACATGTCAAATTAAAATTTTCTTAAATCACATAACATGAAAGCTACTAAAATCCAAATACTGTAAATCCTCTAATACAGGCCTGTATTCAATTAACGGCCAGGTCTCATATTTTGGCCGGTGTCGGAGTCGGCGGAGGTGAATAATGGCCGGTTTCTTATTGTGGCCGGGTGGAATGTGGTAACAAGCAAGTACGGGGGGCGGTTGTGTCATCGTCTCACTTTTGATTTGCGAGTGATAGACCACGAGGGTAACTTTAACCGTGCGGAGACGAAGAGGAGGCGAACATTTGATATCAAGTTCAAAAAGAATGTGCGCTGCAGAACACTGGGGAGCAATAGGGGTTGTATGAATTAGTCGACTTCACTATAGTGACTTTTTATGCCTGTCATCGACTAGTCGCTGTCACGTGATAATGACCGGCAAGATGCAGCCTTCGGAAAAGACAGCAGCCTGCTGTCAGCAGGTGACAAGCTCCTGCGCTCGGGGGGGGGGGGGGGGGGGGGGGGCAACGCGCTTTGCCAGAGCGTCGGTACTGACACGCGATCGTTCATGTCGGTTCATTTCCTTTAATGTTTTCTGTCTTTAATTTGCGCCTGATGTGTTTCGCTGCTGTGGAGCGGGGCGCATCACCTTGTCCTCCGGCGACGCACCGATCACTGATGTGGCCACCAAGCAGGGAGCACTCCACTGTTTCTGCAGTCGGTAGATCTGCCTCCTGAGCACGGCCACAGTAACATTGTCAAATCAGGTGTCGCCACCTCAAAAACTAATTTAACACGCGATCGTTCATGTCGGTTCATTTCCTTTAATGTTTTCTGTCTTTTATTTGCGCCTGATGTGTTTTGCTGTGGAGCGGGGCGCATCACCTTGTCATCCAGTGACGCACCGATCACTGATGCGGCCACCAAGTAGCGAGCACTCCGCTGTTTTTGCGGTCGGTAGATCTTTTAGAACTGCAGCTCAAAGGTAACTCATAAGGTGAATATATATGAACCCAGGTAGCAGTTTCTCTTTAGGACTGAGAGGAGATGCAGGAAGATGATAAACAAACAGGACAGAAAAATAGTCAAATAAAAACAAGTTAGTTTTTGTACCTGGTGGTTGCAACAAACAGACACCATTGAAGGTCATCAGAAGTGAGGAACAGAAAATGAAATAATTATTTTAATGTTTAGAGCAGCAGGAACTCCGAGAGGCTGCAGGAGCATCAGTGAGTTTGCGGCCGCTGCGCGGGGGGAAGGGGGAGAGGGCTGAAGCAGAAACTACCGTTGTTAAAAGAAATGTGTTTAACTTTGAAAATGTGGGCGCAATTTTAATTGTCAAAAACTCCAGCGAACCATTAGTTCATTTTGCTCAAATAGAAATAGAGGCCTGCCTCTAATACTGGCCCTCCTTCCAATAAAGGCCTGGAGCTTGATGAGCTTGAGTCAAATACAGGCCCGGGCCTGTATTAAAGGATTTAAGGTAGTTCCACATTGATTTTAATATATTTGAAATTTTCCTTCTAAATATGTCTAGAAAAAATAACAAACTTCAAATCAGCTTTCACAAGTCAAGTATCAAAATGACTGAAATCTCTTCAATAAATCATAGAAATGTTTGTAGGCTATTAGAGAATAACTCTGTAATATTTAATAACTTTATCTAAGTCCTACTGAACGAAAATATACACAAAATCTAAAAATATATTCTTGAAATATTTGTTTCATTTTAATAATAAAAACTAAAAACATTTACTTTACAAATTCACTAAACATATACATACTCTATAGTTTATCTTTCAATTTAACCGATCTCTCACTTTTCTCAGTTTTCATAGTGTTTTTGGGTTTGTGTGGCCAACGGGATCTTTGGCTCTATGTTTTACACTGAGAGCTTTGAGCAACGTGCCTCCACCACACATTTGCTGCAACCAGTTCATCCCTAAGCTGCACGGTGCACCTGCACTTTGACATATTTTAAACAACTGCAGAGCCTGGTGAAGACGGGATAAGAGCGGTTAAATGCTGTGGGTTTCCATACATCGGACCAGTTAGTTTTGATTCTACCATATTCAT